ATATATATATATATATATATATTGGTTTGTTTTCTTCTCTTCTTCCAAAAAACACCCTATCTTGGCCGCATGTAGGAGGATCATTACAACCAAGCAACACCCGTTCTATAACATCGAATAGCCCAAGTGAAGTCTTGATTAGTTGCCGTTTTCTGGGGGAACTTATATAATGCACGTCCTAAAGCTCGTAGCAAATTTTATTCTGGGTGCGGGCCGAATACTGATCATATTCGGTCGGGTCGCCCATAGAAGTATATTTAGACCCGAGACTTCTAGTGACATGGGAGCAACAACACTGACGACGCACCTAGGTTCGGTACTTAAAGGTTAGTTTCTAATAATCTTGCTTCCAAGATACGTAAACGATTCGACAGATTTTACTGTTCGCTTGAGACAGTTTGTATACAGCCTTCCGTCTCTCTGTGTAAACAGATGGATATGTTTTACACTTTAAAGTTTCGCGGTGTAACCTTGGTTGTTTTACTGTTTTATGACCAGCTCCCGCTGCATGTCTCGGTTGCGTGTCTAGTTTTCTGTGAAGGTTTTTTTTTTTATCCAGTCATCAAGAGAGCCGTGTACACCAACGGGATGACATAGTGTGAGTCACAGTAATCCACTGCATAATTAGATGGCCTCGCACCTGCATCCAGTATACAAAGCGTGAGAACGAGAATATTGTTCAGTTAGATATATAAACAACAGTCTCGGGTAGTCTGTCACACATCCCAGTTGGAGAATGTAGGGTCCAAGTGTCAAATCGACGGGGCTCGCACCACTGGCTAAGAGTAACTGACGAATATTTGGAGTAAATAAAAAATTAAATAAAGAAGATTCGTGTCTTGTACTTGTAACATCATTTAATCGACACTCCATTTCCGTAAACGAAGGATTTTCCAGACTACCCAGTGACGTAGTGTTGTGGTGTCCTCCCTCTAAAGAATATATGTTGGACTCTTCCACCTACTATAAGATTAGTAGGAGAGAAGGCATTTGGGGAACAGTCGAATAGATCTGTTCGCATTGTGCTAGTCAAACTTCCTGCCCCAGGGCAGAGAGGATCCCCAGATGAGGCTATGTCGAAGGGCAGAGTCTCGTCTCGGGAAACAGCTACCCGACCCCGTTTTATACGGGGTCTATGCGGAATTTTTGGTCGAGTCTATAGGCTCGGTTGCCCCACATTAAACTTGGCTTTGTGCCACATCTTACCTCGTGGGGAGGCTGGTAAATATTAGCAGTCGAATAAATTTAACGCTCGGTCAACCGACACACACTCACTAGTCGTGTAATACTCTTCTGTTGTACTTTCTGTTCAATCTATTCGACTGTTAATATTTAACAGCCCCCACGAGGGAAGTATATGGCACAAGGCCGAGTTTACCGCCGGTTCTCTGAGCCCGTAGGCTCGGCCAAAGATATTCCCGTAAACCCCCCATAACGGGTTTAGGGTCTGTCTAACTCCCCGATCGAAACTTGGCCCTTCGGCAAAGCCTCGTCTGGGTTCCTCTCTGCTCAAGGCAGAGAGTTCGACAGTTGAACAATCTATTCGACTTTTTTTAAAAGAAACCCCCACCACCACCACCACGAGGAATGTATGTGGCACATGGACGAGTTTGCAGTGTGTTCTCCGAGCCCGTAGGCTCGGCCAAAAATATTCCCTTAGAAACCGCATAAGCGGGTTCGGGATCTGTCTACCTCCCCGGACGAAACTTTGGCCTTCGGCAAAGCCTTGTCCGGGTTCCTCTCTGCCGAGGCAGTGAATTTGACAGATGAACGATCTATTTGACTGTTCTCCTAAAGCCTTCTCTCCTACTAATCTTATAGTAGGCGGAAGAATCCAACATAGACACTTTAGAGGAAGGACACCATAACACGTTGACCATTTTTTTACTTTGCCTAACTCTACTTGTGTTGTCTAAATTGGTACCTTGTAGGAAGGTTAGAATAAAGGTTTTTGGCTCTTACAATGTGCAACCATTTGAATTTTTTCTTATTGACTGTAGTTATATGGTCTTCCAACGGACATGTTTCTTGTCTGATGATATCTCGCACTGCGTTGTTTATGATACAGTCTCTGTAGGAGATGTAAGATGATTCTGTAACATCTAATTTCTAATGCTTGAATTCCTCGCTGCAGTTCTGCTGTTAATTTCCAAAATTCGCAGTTATCTAGAAACTTTGTGATGGTCAATTCACAGTGTGAAACATAGTTCTACTCGATATCCATGATTTATATTCACCACTGAATTAAGTGTATTGACGATGGAAATTATGTTCAAATTACGTTGTCTTTTTCTCCGTTAGTATACGGAGAATTTGATTTACTTACGTAAATTGACGGGCTCGTTATATTTATGTATTTTTGACAAGCTGGACATTTGGAAATGGCACGTGTGTTTGCAATTAAGGTATTGCCATTATTTTCGATTATATATCGATGCAGTTACGCACAGAATCGAATCATTATATGCATCATCGTCGTCGTCACCTACTCGCATCTGACCATCGGGATCGTCTCTCCTTATTCCCTTTCTCCTTTCTGTTAGCGGAGACGGAAATGGCTGTGATGTTCCAGCCTATTCCTAAAGAGACGTGAGCAGGAATCAGAGAGGAGTGTGGCTGGTAGATGCGGCTGGGTAAGTCGGACCCTTCTGACAGCACGTCAAAGATGCTCTTCATGTTGACCGTTGATGGGTGGTAGAAAGCGAATTCAAAGAGAGTTTGACGAGGCCATTCAAGTGAATTTGATTTTGGTGGACAACTCTAGCTCTGGGTAAAATATAATAAACTTTCTAATAGTCAAAAAAAAATTTTGAGGATCTGTCAAGAAAATCTGATTCAGTGACAAGAAAACGGCCAGTTTTGAAGACTATTGTACTTTTTCTATTATTAGTCGTCGACACCCGCTCGCATCCGAGCATTGGGATAGTTATCCCCTCTCCTTATTCCCTTTCTCTCCTGATGGTGGCAGAGACAGAGATGGCTGTGAATACCCGGCCTACTCCCGAAGAGTCAATAGCAGGAGTCACAAAGGAACGTTGGTGGTGGACGCGGCTCGGCGAGTCCGGACTTCCTGACAGCACGTTGCAGCTCCTCTGCGTGTTGAGAGTTGGACTCGAAAGTCACGGTGCCATCCACAAACCCAAACCACACGTCAAATAAATCCAAAACGAAGGAAGTATTTTTCTGTCACGTGTCACAGTAGGGTTAGGGTAGGAGTCGTGAGCAGGTGTCACAGATGATTGTGGGTAGTGTATGCGGCAGGGCACGTCTCAGATCTTTTTCATGTTGAAGATTGTACTCGAAAAACTCGGTACCCCCTCGGATGGTCCTACGCCAGTAGGGCCGATTTGCAATAACGGTTTCTCAGGTCTTGGAAAATCAAATATAAATTTACGATCTTCCTCCCATCAGTATGGCTGATGCTAGCCTCCATTAGAGCAACTCGTTGCGCCTTCGCAGGCTAATATTCACGGCTGACCTTAAAGTGGAAATGCTATATTGAATCCAATGCTAGGTCAGCTGCTAAGAAAGTTGGTTAGATGCGCGACATTTTTCTCTCCAGAGTCTATCATATATATCTTCATATACATCTATAAGTCTACCATTCCTCAATGCTTAGAATGTTGGTGCCACATATGGTCCGATAACTCTGCTATATATTTGGAGATTCTTGATAAAATCCAAACAAGAATCAGAAATATTTCAGTCACTTTCCCGCCGCTCTAAAGATGTTTCTCTGTGTCTTTTCAATAAATCTTTTCATAGTAATGGCTCGGTGAACTCTTCGCTATGGTACGTGAATTATGAATTATGAATTTAAGTGCAGTACTAGATTGGCACCAAGGTCTCATTATTTTACAATTGAAATGGCTAGATGTAACCGTAAGTTCTATGCTAACAGTTTCTTCTCTAACATAAGATTCACTTAATGGCATCTCGGCTTCAGTCACTTTCCTACCACCATAATGTAGCTTTCCTGTGCCTTTCCGTTAAATAATTTCATGCTAATTCTTCTTTTCACTATGGTACATAGACTTTATGAATTTAAGTGCAGTATTAGATTGGTGGCAAGGTCTCATCATTTTACAGTTGAAATGGCTAGATGTAACCGTAAGTTCTATGCTAACAGTTTCTTCTCTCGCATAAGATTCACTTATTGGCATCTCGGCTTCAGTCACTTTCCCACCACCATAATGTAGCTTTCCTATGCCTTTCCTTTAAATAATTTCATGCTAATTCTTCTTTTCACTATGGTACATAGACTTTATGAATTTAAGTGCAGTACTAGATTGGTGGCCAGGTCTCATCATTTTACAGCTGAAATGGCTAGATGTAACCGTAAGTTCTATGCTAACAGTTTCTTCTCTCGCACTTCTCTATCGTGGAACTCTCTCTCTCGGATCCATGCTTTCTATTTAACTTTAATCTTCAAAAATTTAAATGTAATATTACTCTTCTATTGTTCTCGCTCGTTGATAATGTTTCTGCTTTCTAATTCTTTCACGCCCGGTAACATCTTTGCGTCTTATTCTTTCCGGGTTTGATCGATCGCAACTTCCTTTCTTTTGTTGGTAAAAGTTGACTTTTGAGCTTTTACCTTCGACCTTCTTCTGCTATCCATTCAAACAAACTCGTTAGCGGGTTATGCTGTTCTCACCTTTTCTTCTTGGCTTGAAGATGTCCTTTAAGTGTTCATTTTCTCCAAGCATTTTTTTCCTAATGACGTGACCCATACATTTCAACAGTCCCTTTGTGATTGCAAATATAAGTTTCCTTGTGGCCCATATTTTCCTTAAAACTTCATCATTGCTCACATGTTCGATCTATGGCATTCTCAGAATGGTAGAACAACATCACGTTTGCTTCAAGTCCCTTCTTCATCTGTGGGGACTTAAATCCGTATTACATTAAGCAACGTCAAGCCTAGTCAGTACTTAGATGGGTGACCGCTTGGGAATACAAAGTGCTGTAAGCTTGGATATGCTGGTGGTATGAATTATGGACATATCAAGTTGAAACACCAGTTATCGTACGATCATCGAAGTTAAGCAACGTCGAGTCTGGTCAGTACCTAGATGGGTGACCGCTTGAGAATACCAAGTGCATTAAGCTTGGATATGCCGATGGTATGAATTATGGCCATACCAAGTTGAAACACCAGTTATCGTACGATCATCGAAGTTAAGCAACATCGAAACTGGCCAGTACTTAGATGGGTGCCGGTAGTGTAAAGGATAACGGCTCGGAAATTGAAAGCCCAAGTTGAAACACCAGTTATCGTACGATCATCGAAGTTAAGCAACGTCGAAACTGGTCAGTACCTAGATGGGTAACTGCTTGGGAATACCAAGTACTGTAAGCTTTGATATGCCGGTGGTATGAATTATGGCCATATCAAGTTGAAACACCAGTTATCGTACGATCATCGAAGTTAAGCAACATCGAAACTGGTCAGTACTTAGATGGGTGCCGGTGGTGTAAAGGATAACGGCTCGGAAATTGAAATTGGAAAGCTGACATCATATTCCAGTCGAGTTCGTTATATTGACTTACGCACAAATACTCTTGGGTAAGGTATTGATTTTCCTCTTCTCCTCTAGCCCACTTATCGTTTCGTTCCATTTCATACTGTTTGTTGTGTAGACATGCGTTATACTTTCTTTTTCGTGGGACACGTGTAAATATATAGTATATGTATTGTATGTATGACTTAGCAGGATGAAACTCTCTCTGAGAACAAAGTATGTTTGTAATTACTTTTCTTCCAGCTATTCCGTTCCGTCCGTGTATTAAGTGTTATCATATCGTTGATAAAATAATCTCCATAATGGGGAAAATTGTTGCAGTTTTTTGTGTATATCTATCTACTAGTGAGTTAGCCCAAATGACTTGACTCACTTTATAGTCCACCAATAGAAGGTTAACCAAACAGAAGACGTAGAATATTCAATCCGTTGTGTATAAAGGCGGCCATTTTGTTTACTCTACCCGAATGTCCAGTCCAGCTTGTTAGGCGAAGAGAAACAGAAGGACGAACTACGCTCTGCTACTTTTTACCAAAATATCCACTGCTAACCTGAACAACGCTTCCCTACTGTCTTCAAAATATTCACTGCTAACCTCTGGATTCTATACCCGAAGATGACCATCATCATGAACAACAAAAATGAAACCTGACAATAAACATTTCTTCAATAGAAAACTCATTAACATAATGCCAAAAAAAAAAAAAAAAACAAGGTCTGGAACCTTTATCATTCATGGGACTTGACTAAGCAATGTGTGACCTAACGAAGGTGTTTAAATGGATAGCAGAACATGCAGCTGGAAGTATTGTAAGGAGACAATCCTTACTTAGAGCCAGAAAGGATAAGAAAGCCATTATCGCCCATATAGAAGAAGACGAGGATGAAGAGTTGAAAAAATATTTAAATATTCTTTGTGTTACTTTACAGTTATACACTGGATTAAATACTTTTAATGCTTCAGAAAAAATCTTTTCCTATATGCTGCAATAGATTTAATTGTGTCAATAAAAATCCTAAAGAAACTACACTGACTAATATGACTTATACAATGACCTATACAATCCGATTTTTGTTACCATGCACGTAGACTCGTGATTAGATAATTTCATCTAATAATTTAAAAAACATGATTTTTTATGACTTACTTAAGGTTAACTTGGATATAAAACATGTCAGTTTAGTTCGGCAGTCGGCGTTAAGAAATCCGTAAACCGATGGTGGCCATCGGTATACGGATTTCTGAACGCAGCAAATCGTCAGACAGAAAAGCTTCAAGTTCAAATTCAAGCTCTACAAATCGCTGGTCGCATCCACCCTCTTCTACGGGTGTAAGACTTGGGCACTCCTGACTGAGACGGGGAAAAGAATCTGGGCGTTCGAGAACAAACGCATCGCAAAACCAATTACTATGCAGAACGCAAGGTCAGAAGTTTCGTGGGCCGACAGGAATCTCTCCTAGCCACTATTAAGCGTCGGAAGATGTCTTGATTTGGCCACGTTATACGGTATAACAGCAAAAGCATCATGCAAAGCACTGTTAAAAGAGAACGCAAGCGGGGACGGCAACGCAAAGAGCGGACAGAGATGACAATGCCAGAACTTATGAGACCCAACGCCAACAGACCATCTTAGAGGAGGCTGTCTGCCCTTATGTCTCCCCAACGATTTAAGCAGTCGAGAGACTTATGACGATGAGTAACTTATCACAGTTAATTTTACTAACCATAATTCGAGAGTAACCCTCCTGATTATATAAGCAAAGCAATTTGTAAATTATTTAAATATACCTGTGTTTTTAACTGTTCAGTTCGATCAGAGACTAAATAATTGTTAATGATTTAAATGCATAATTCTTTATTATATGTGCCAACAGAATAAACTGTATACACGAAAATTCTACATACGCCATATTGATATAGCTTAGTGGTGCACAAGGCCGAAAAGTATGGGGCACTTAGTGTGGATCACACTCACCACTCAGTCTTTATTGTTGTAGCCAAACTTGCTAACCATTATACCACGCCGATGTGCCCAAATAAGCCATATTGATGATAGGTGCCAATTCATAAAAAAGGGATGCCATATTTTTACTATGCTGTTAGACTAACGATTAAATAATCCCTTTTAACAATTTAAAAAATAGAATTCTTTATTGCTTACGACAATAGATTTAATTGTGTAGCTAAAAATTCTAAATTACGTATACAGAATGTAACTAAAGCAAATATAAATTATTTAAGAATTGCCTTCGCCTTTATTACTGTATAGGGAGAGCATAGATTAAATACTTTTAAGAATGTAAAAAAATATGCTTTCTTTCATGCGACAATAGAGTTAATTGTATGGATAAAAAGTTCTAAATTAGCTATGTTGAATATATAACCAGTATAGTTGCAAAAGTACTTAAATATGGCCGCCATTTTTGTACGTACGACTAAACTGGCATGGATATAGTAAATGATCAAGAAATGAAAAAAAATGGCGTTGGTGGACAGCTATTAACTATATAAGTTAAACTGTTCAAACTTATTCTTATTGGTTTTGTCTATTTCTCTTTTGGAGATCACTTATTATTCTCATTAGAAGAAAAACAATTTTCTCCATGCATATTAACAATCTGTTGTTCAATATAGCAGCAATGTATTTGGGTTTTGTTTATTTCTTATGTTACTTTCTGAGACAGTCATATGTCAGATTAATCATTGCTTTTAGTTGCTCCATTGGCAAAACGCCTCTTTTTCTTTCGTAATTACAATATTGTAATATCCATGCTGTCAAGATGACCAAAAGGGTTAGCAAAGAAATGTTTTCATGGGAAAAAATGTCTGCCCGGAGGTAAAAAAAAAGAAAGAAGAGTAGGGCAAGGAAAGTGATACAAATGAAAGTCTTAAATAACTTTCTTTTTAATTTTCCTCAGCCTAACCTACGGAGTTTTCTTTGCTAATATTGTATTCCACTTCAGAGATATGAATTTATAAACGAGGATTAATTTATATTACCGCTCGCGTCGTCTTCTTCTGTGTGTCTTTTCCCTTCAGGACGTGAGCAATCGTGGCTCTCCACAACTTCCTGTCCTTTATAGCTCTGAGTTTTCTTTTTGATGTTTCTCGTAACCCCTTTTCTTCCAACCATTTACACAAGCTCGTTAAGCAAGTTTTGCGCCGGTTTTCTCCACTCATTTACCTTTAATCTGCCCTGTGAGTGTCAAATTCTCTAAGCTCTCTTTCCTCGTTATGAGCACTAGAAATTTTAACCATTTCTTTCGGATTCTAATTAGAAGTGTTCTTTTTGTTTTAATTTTCGCTAAAGCTTCATCGCTATTAAGACATTCAGTCTATGCTGTTCTCAGCATCCTTCTGTAGAACCAATTTCGTTTACGTCAAGTCTCTTATTCGCCTGTGAAGAGATTGTCCATCATTCATTGACGAAACAGTTCAGTGATCTTTTCTTCGTTTCTAATAACATTTTCCTGTTTCGTAATACTTTGCTTAGCTTTTGGAAGGCATCTTTCGCTATCCCACTGAACTTCGAATTTCGGTGTCGCATTTTCCGTCTTCTGTTGATATTTAAATTTCGTACTTGCTTGATTTTGTTATCTCCAATTCCTAATCCGCATCTTGGAATATTTCTCTCTCTGACAATCATGTCTTCTGTCGTCTTAGAATTTATACTTAGTCCTTTCTTCTCGCTTTCCTTTCCTTCCTTCTCCAGGAGTTCCTTTCGTCCCCTTTCTGTGTTTGCTATCAACACTATGCTATCTGCATATTTTATGTTATTTTGTTAAGATTGTGACCGCTAGAATTAGAACTCCTACCACTTGCTTAAACCATTGAGTCTTGACCACCGCTTCACTGGTGGTAGAGAAAAATGATTTAATGGACAGCTACCGGTTGAACGGTGGGTAAATACTTGTAACTATTTTTATATCTACCGTGAAACATTATATAGCAATTATTTGCGAATTTTGACTCAAGAGCTCAAACAGAAGGGTTAAAATTGTTCAGGAACGCAGGGTTCAAAGGGTTAAGCTATTAGGATTGAGTAAAATAAGGAACACTTACCTTTCACCTCCACTGGAAAATTAACAGAAGAACTAAACCAGATGGCACTGCTCGAAAAAAATCTAAGAGTCTCAACCTGGACTGTCAGGGAAGCAATCGGGAAGTTATTTTTATTTATTGTAATTATCTTATATCTACCGTGAAACATTACATAACAATTATTTGCGAATTTTGACTCAGGAGCTCAAACACAAGTGTTAAAATTGATCCGGAACGCAGTGCTTAAATGCTTAAAATAGTATAAAGATATATAACCTCATAGCCAAATGTTATTTTCAGAATCTGGGGGATTTGCTAATGATAATAAAGGTAATATAGATAAGTTCAATTTTTTCTAAATGTTTTGCACTGATAACACATCTATATATAAAATTCTGTGACTTCCGTTAGTCTGTCCGCCCGTCTTTCAAACCCTCTAAAATAGCCATAGATTAACCGATCGGACCCAAATTTAGGGGAGAAGTACAAACTGGTAAGGGGGTTACAAATGAAGTTTATTCCTAAACACTCCGATT